GATCCCAGCGTTTCTGCCACTTTTCAAATGCATCCTGGAAGTCTTTCTTTGTTAGGGTGTTTAGTACCGTCTGCGTTTCCGCTTGAATTTCCTCAACTGTATCAAATCTTCGCCCCTTCAACTTGATTTTCATCTTGTGGAAGAGAAAGAAGTCGCATGGAGCTAAGTCTGGCGAGTACGGTGGGTGGGGAACAACTACCATCTTGTTTTTAGCCAAAAATTCGTGCACAATGTAAGCCGTATGCGGTCGTGCATTGTCATGGTGGAGTACCCAGTCATTCGTGCGCCACTTCTCTGGACGTTTTCTCCTCATGTCCACCCTCAGATGCCTTAGAACATTGCGATAGAACTCTTTATTGACTGTCTGGCCAGGAGGGATGAACTCCTTATGATCAATTCCGTCAATATCAAAAACCAGATCAACATGGACTTAATGTTGCTCTTGACTTGTCAAGCTTTTTTTGGCCGAGGTGAAGAAGGGCTCTTCCATTGCGATGATTGCTGCTTGCTTTCAGGGTCGTAGCCATAAACCAACTTTCGTCACCAGCGACAACCTTCGAAAGAAAGTTTGGATCCTCTTGAAGCTGTTGCTGAAGTTCCCTGCAGACTTCCAAGCGATGCTGCTTCTGTTCATTTGGCAGCAGTCATGGCACAAACTTTGCCGCAATCTTCCTCATGTTCAGTTCCTCTGACAAAATTCGTTGACATGTACCATAACTTAGTCCCAAGGTGTTACAGAGGTCTTGGATGGTGAGTCTACGATCTTGCAGAATCAGATCCCTAACTTTTGCGACATTTTCTGGTGTTTTGCCCGTTGATGGCTGTCCCGAATTATCGTCATCATCAGTCAATTTTCGGCCATTTTTAAAATGCTTATACCAGTTGTAAGTTTGTGTCTGGCCTAAACTGTTTTCACCAAAAGCTTGCTTCAACATTTGGTGCGTTTCTGCAGCAGTTTTCCCAAGTTTGAAACAAAACTTTATACAGACACGCTGCTCTCTCAGGTCAGCCATCGCAAAACCGCAAACTCACGGAAACACAACAATGTAAATACTTCCACCAACAATAAACCCAACCACTCAACTCGATGCCGCTTGCCACACTGACTCAAGAAGGATGTGTGAGGAGACAGCTAGCGGTATTTTGATGTACTCATAATCATTCGCACGCAAAATTCAAATTTCGGTAACTTTTGGATGCCCCACGTAGTATTATGAATTTCTGTAAGATTTCTTTTAATTAGTTCCTTTAATCACCTTACATCTTCATAGGGGTTTCCATATCAGAACTCATGTTTATACCATCTGAGATCAGTGAAATGCCGTTTGTTTGATAGCTGTCACAGTACTACGTAAATTACACTTTGTTGTTCTGTGAGAGATGTCCACTGTGTGACATGCATTGGTGTGTTGCATCGTATTTATTACTTTAACATAGATGTCCAACAGAAGAAGAAAAAATGAACTGGTCTATTTATGGACATAATCACTGAGTGACTGAGGTGATTTTCGGAGTGATGTATGGCATGTTCAGTTCCAGTGGATAAGTGCATCCACTGGCACATCTCGTCTTCCTCTTCATCATCACATCAAGTGTTTTGCTTCACTTTTGCAATGTGGTCTGGGAATTGTAGAAGGAGAATATCCTTTGTGCCCCAAAATACTGCCAGCAACTTTCCCCTCAGACTGGTGGGAATGTTACCCCTTCCACTGCATAGCCTGGAGCTTGTGTTTCTGTTTTTATGGATTACTGACAACAACAAACTGAGGTTTTCTCGGAAGTGAATGTGAAGATTAGAGTCCTCTAAGATGTAATGTCATAGTTTCATAGATAAGTGCCTATCTGTGGTGCTACATGATGTCACATACTAGAAGATTGTAATCACACTGTTAATAACTTCTCAGTTACAATGTTAATGTTATAATTTATAATTATATTTCTCTGATTGTACATGGTTTACTGTGTGGACCACCACATAGAAGTGTGAAATTGATATAAATATTTGAAAACAAGTTTCTACCTCATAGGAAACACTGTGTATACAGTACAAAGACCAGTCAGTTACTGCTGTTTGTTGTGAGAATTAAGTGAAACATAAGTATACTTTGTGAGCAAGAAGCCATTTCTTAATGTTAAAATAAGCATACGTAGTACGTATAGTTACCATTGGGCTTTAAAGGGTTTCCCAGTACACTTGGAAAAGACATTATTTTTGTTCACTTCACAGGTGCTAAAGTTGCTCAGTATGCCGGGAAACATCTTCACAAATATATCATTAAGAGATCGGAGTATAAGGAAGGAAGAATCGAAGATGCCCTGCGTCAGGTATGTTGTATCAGCAGAAGTATTTGATTTATGGTAATGTGGCATTGCAAAGAAACAGAAGTTATGAATTTCCTTCCCTGTTGCCATGTTTGACCCTCTGTCAATCTGCAACAGGTACCATGACCTTAATTTTTTTAAATGCAATATAGGGTTACTTTCACTGAAATTGTTGGGAAATTCCAGTTTTTAGCAATATACACTTATGATAAAGTTCATTTTACTTTTGGCCATTAAGAACTTTATCTTTTAAATCATAAACTGTTTTATGAATGTACCAGAAGTAAGCTCAGTTGTAAACTTCAAAGAATGCTGCTGGGAATTGTGTGCATTGTTATATGGATTATAGTTCATAGGAAATGTTAGATATGTGAGATTTTAAGTTTTCATGGTTATGAATATGGTGATTGAATTCTTCTGGGATGCGACACTGTGTAGTCTTGTATTTTCAGAAAAACCATGGTTAGTGAATCTTCAAGGTAGAAATCTCTTCTTCATTAAGATGGAGGCTGCATGTTTCTGTAACACACAAGTTTCTACAGACCACATGGTATCATGTCCCAGAAGACAGTAATTTTCTGGTTCTCTTGCCNATGCTTCAAGGCGTCACCTGCTTACATAGCCGAGATACCGGGTGCTCATATTATAAGGCAAGGTTATAAAACCAACTTTTAAGATCATTTTAGTGAAAGTTTCATCCTTCAAGGCGTACCATTCTCTGCTCAAATACTAAATAACATGCTTCCATTGAAGATATAAAGGGGGTTCATATTATAAGGTAAGGTTATAAAACCACCTTTTAAGATCATTTTAGTGAAAGTTTCATGTTCCTATCTCATAGAATTTAAGAACAATGATGAATAAATAATTTTCGAGCAAAATTTAAATGGCCGGCTGAATATATTACCGCAGGAGCCGCGGCCGCGGAATTTAAATGACCACGTCAAAGGGTTAAGAACTTTATCTTTTAAATCATAAACTGTTTTATGAATGTACCACAAGTAAGCTCAGTTGTAAACTTCAAAGAATGCTGCTGGGAATTGTGTGCATTGTTATATGGATTATAGTTCATAGGAAATGTTAGATATGTGAGATTTTAAGTTTTCATGGTTATGAATATGGTGATTGAATTCTTCTGGGATGCGACACTGTGTAGTCTTGTATTTTCAGAAAAACCATGGTTAGTGAATCTTCAAGGTAGAAATCTCTTCTTCATTAAGATGGAGGCTGCATGTTTCTGTAACACACAAGTTTCTACAGACCACATGGTATCATGTCCCAGAAGACAGTAATTTTCTGGTTCTCTTGCCATAGGCCAACCAACTATTGCTACAGTACTGATGAGATGTATTTTGTACAGGGTTTCCTTGATGTAGACAACGCTATGTTACAAGATGAGTCTCTGAAAGATGAGTTGGCAGGCACTACTGCAGTTGCTGTCATTCTAAAGGATAACAGACTTTATTGCGTAGGTACCGCTGTGGCTGTGAATGATTGGTATGTCAGCCACAATTTTGTCTATTGTATCAGCCCCAGGTGATATATGATGAGTGTGGAGCAGTTGGTGGAATGAGAATTGATAGGGGAAACCAAATTACTCAGATAAAACTTACCCCAGTGCCACTTTGTCCATGAAAAATCCCACATGACTTGACATTGGCTCAGACCCGAGTTGCCACTGTGGTAATCTGACAACTAACCACCTGAGCTATGACACGGCCTTGTGAGTGAATGTTGGAGCACTTGTTTGTGGTGGGCATCCTAAAAACATGTCTGCTTACTGTACCTACCAATGTACTGTGGTCAAGGAAGTCTTAACTGCATGTGAAACTGTCATCAGGAACTGCACTTGCCCAGTGATTGTCAACTCCAGAAATTTCCTCTTCCCCCCTGTGTCTCCCCCCCCCCCACCATAGATGTGTTCTTATGAATTGTATCACTGTATTCAGGTTGGGGGTTATCAGTGTTTTTGAGGCACATGCTTTGTGCATCTACTCATCTCCAACTAGTGCCAAGGTCAAGAAAATGTGGATCTATACATCCACTCCCCCATATGTCTTCATGGCATAGTACTTAATTAGTTAAGTTGTACTTCTTTATGCCCAGCCCAGCTTCACTGTAGAAGCAACTTCTCAAATTGGATATAGCACAGAGAAAAATAGACCACTATCTTGGTATGTACATATGTTATATAGTGTTGCTTTGTCTCTGTGACAGGCTAATGTTGGCGATTCTCGTGCCATTGCAAGTGTTAATGGTAAGGTGGACGTGCTCTCGTTGGATCATAAACCTTGTAATAACACAGAGTTCAAAAGAATCCAAGCAGCAGGAGGTTGGGTTGAGTTAAATCGCGTGAATGGCAACCTAGCACTTTCACGTGCTCTAGGAGACTTTGTGTTTAAGAGAAATGAAGAAAAGACAGCAGAAGAACAGATCGTTACAGGTAAGGTGAGGTCTTTATTAGGACATGTATTACACCCATATTCTCTTTGCCAAACCATTAATGCAAACACTACCATACATGCATATTAGGCATATATGAGAATGTTTTTTTTTTTTTCATTCCAAGATGGAACTAAGATGAAAATTTGGAAGACTTTTGAAAATCAAGTCTTTTTCTACAAGACAAGTTTTTTCCACTGTTATTGCAGTTTATAACACAACCAACGTTTTCACAGCGCACTAAAGAGTTCTTCTTAGCCTGTCCCTCTTGATATCAAATTATTTTTCAGTGAAAAACATTCAAGAATAATTTAATTTAAAAGAAATTAATTCTAGGGCCGGACCCTTTTTCATCATTGGAGGGGAGATACATTCTGTTGATTCATGGTAGTGTTTCCAACGAGTATGAATGTGACAGACTGCTGTATTCTCGTGAGCTAGGCAGATGCAGTTACTGGAACCTTGAAGTTCAAGGATGATGAATCCACTTTTGAATCTGAATTTTTTTTCAATCCAGTCTTGAAAATTGGAGACTTGTTTATGCCCATTGTAAGACAGTCCACCCTGATGGAGATATCAATGAATTGATGAATGAATGAATGGATGGATGGATAATGGCAGTGGTGGTGGTGATGATCAGATGATCATGACGACTACGGTGATCATCATCCTGTTTCAGTTGAATTTATATGAATCAATTGTTGTGATATTCTTCCTCTTGACTTTTATTTATGAATGACTAGCATATCCAGATGTTGAAACTCGTGAAGTAACTCCTGACTGGGAATTCGTGATCATTGCCTGCGATGGTATCTGGGACGTCTTGACTAATGAGGTAAGCCTGCAACAGTATTTAAGTTTCCAGCTCAAGTCTTCCTTTAAAATAGTTACATACCATTATCAGGAGCCAGGATAGGTTAGTCAGTATAGCGACTGGCTACAGGCTGGACGATGTAGGGATTGGAGTTGAGTCCCAGTAGGATCAAGAAGTTTCTCTTCTCCATGTCACACAGACCGGCTCTGGGGACCACCCAGCCTTCTGTCTTGTGGGTACCGGGGCTCTTTCCTCAGGGTAAAACAGCCAGGCCTGAAGCTTGAGACTTCTACTTGATACAAATTAATTTTTGTCAAATTAAAAGAAAAATATAGACCCTTTGTTATGGATAATATGAAATTTCTGCCATCTGTTGTTCCTGTTTATGAACTGTTATAAGGCTAGAAGAGCTGTCTGTCAGTGAATATAAAAAACAGAGATATAACACTGAGCACATGACCTTAACCTTTAAGAGTCGGCATTTAAACCCCCCACGACTGCGCTGCTGCCGGAGTTAATTTGACGGTGCCCTTTTAATATTGTAGACTTTCAGAAAAAACTACATATTTTCCGTTCTCTGCAGCTTAGAAATACGAACTAAAAACCGCCTGAAAGAGAATGAAATTTCCTACAATATACATATGGCAATTTTTACAAATAAAAATTAAGTGTGATTGTTATGTCATGAAATTCAAAATATACTCTCTATTATATGTGTAATGAAATTCCAAAAGACTTACCCATAATTTTTTCTTCAAATTTGAGACGTCGTTATATCCAAAATACATTGACACTATACACCAAAATGTTTGGTCAGACTGTACACGAGTTTCAACTCGTTGCGTCGTGTAAGTTTACGCTACTATAGATACTGCGTGCGGGAGCGCGGGAAGGCAGAGGTTGCTTCAGCGCGTTGTGAAGGTCACACAGACCTCACTTGTCATACGCTGGTAGACAATCTGGTTCAGTCTTTCGCTTAGCGAACAAACAGGAAGTTATTGTTTGTATCTGGCTGGCCGGACAGTGTTGTCAATGTTCAGTTCCAGATGACTCAATGAAAAATCTTGGCTTCCCCAGAGAAACAGTCCGCCACTGACTCACAAGCTGATAATTCAGACACTCACTAAACACGTCACACTTCCTTGAGAGCTACAGAAGCAGTGATCTGCCCGCACAGA